GGGAACCTTCCCTTTTGGGACCCCTACAGCTGACTAAGGGGAATTCAGTCTGTGAGCTCCCTACCCGCCAAGCCCTCCCGCGTGCTGCTGGCGCCGGTTGTTCCCCAGGGAGACACGTAGACGAACTCAGGAAGGCTGAGAGACACAGACACAAAAGCTTGGGCTCCCTGTGGGGTGAATTGGGACCAGAAAAAACTCCTCCTCCAAATGGGGATACAGTTTGAACCTGGGACCCAGAGGTCGGACCTGCAGACCAGATCCCGTGCACGAGGTCTAGCATCTGCCTGGGCACAGGAGGGAATATATGTGAACAGCCTACTGAGGTGTTGTGCCTCCAGGGGCAGATCAGCGTCCTAGAGGGCAACCCTCCTCCCAAAGGGAGGCTGTACGCCCAGCCCAGTGGCCTTCCTGCGCAGCAGGAACCTACACGGCATCACAGTCCGGGGAGGCCTGGTGGCGTGTGTCCTGGCCTGCTGGCAGAAGCCGAGGAGTAGCTGCGGAGTTGGGGAGTGGAAAGAAGCGAGGCCGCTCCCAGACGCAGGTCTCAGACAGCCCCACCCCCACAAGCAGACTTTCTGCTGAGCGGCCATTCCGCCCCACCCTGACAGCTTTTCCTAGAAGCAGAGAACAGAACTTTGACCCCTGCTAACCGCATTGGTGGTGCCTGAGGGCAGGCTTCCCAACGAGCTCCATCCACCAGAACAAAGCTGATAACAGGACACAAAATCAACAGCATACCGCCGTCCTCCAAAAGCAGGAGCGCCACTACCTGACAGGGAAGGCATCCTGCACAGCCTTTTCACAGCACCCACTGACTCATTATACAGGAGTAGTTCGAATCTCACCCACCAGACAAAAAAAAAAATACAAAAAAACACCAAAAAAAAAAAAAGAATACAGCAAAGTAAAACAAACAAACAAAAAGAAGGAAAAGTTCTAGCACGTATGTAATTGGAATCCCAGAAGTCAAGAGATAATCAGAGAACTGTTAATACCGGAAAAAACAATGACTCAGAATTTTCCAGAATTGAACAAAGACACAAATCCCCTGATTCAGAAAACCTAACAAATCCCAAGCAGGACTTTAAAAAAACTAAATTTTAAAACTTAAAAACAAGAAAATCCACACCCTGATACCCAGATAAGAAGATCCTAAAAGCTGCCAGAGAGAAAAGACAACTGACAAAGCAATGCCAATTATGCTGACAGCTAACTTAGTTTCAGCAAAGGATACAACCAGGTCAGAGTGAGGAGAATCAGTGTTCAATCTAGAATACAGTAGAACATTCTAGAAAAATACATATTCTATGGTGTCATTGATATGAAGTTAGAAAACATGCAAAACAAAACTATGTTGTTTATGGATATATATTAATGTAGTAAATGTAGTAAACTAACTGTTGAAATGTAAGGCGACAGTAATCCAGAATTCAAGATAAGCTCTCTCTGGAGGGGGAAGGAGACGCAGATTGTGGAGGGGCACGCAACAGCTAAAAAGCCCTGGTAGTGTTCTATTTTTACCGTGATGGGTACATGGATGCCCATTTAACTGCTTTTCCTCACATTATACCATATACCCATGATTTCAATATTCTTTTGTACGTATTCAACTAAAAATGTGAAAATCACAAGTAAACAAAATTACGAATTGTGATAAAAGCTTTGGAGGAAAATAGCAAGATGCCAAGAACTAGGAGGGCCTGAGTTGAACTGATATAGAGGACAGTAGGCAGGGCCACAGGAGGGCCACCAGAGGCTGGTCTAGAGTGTGTTCCTGGAACTGCAGGTTGTGTTCGGACTGGAAACGCACTGACAGCATTTAATCATGGACGGATTATGTGAGCAGAGGGAGAAGGTGGGGTCCTGGAAGATCCCCAGTTTCTAAGTGGGACACTTTTGCCAAAGTGAGGAAAACTGCAAAAGGAGGGACAGATGTGGCAGGGGATGCAGGCCAAGAATTCGGGTGTGGCCGTGACTGGCCTCAGAGACCTCCCCATGGGAACAGAGACCATTTCTACAGGCAGACGCAGAAAGGCACAAGTTGAACACCCAGAATGTGGCCCATCTGAAGGTAGGGACCCTCGAGTGTGTCCGGCAGCGTCAGGAAACGTGTTCAGCAGAACAGCCACACTGCTTTTGAGCGCTAAAACTAATAATTTTAATAAGAAACATCTCTCCTTCTAAACAGGTGAATTTAACATTATTAAATCTCTCTGGGGCTTAGGGTGGCAGCTGCAAGCATCCATTACTATTCTGAGGGACCATGTCATCAGATCCGTGGACAGTGGCCAGGCTGTCTGTCTGCTGTCATTTCTTATGAACACACACGTGTCCTCACTACTGCTGGCTGCTACTGCAATTCTCACGCAATTCTAAGTTTACAGGGACTTAGGCGGCACGAGTCCTCTCCTAAAACATAAACCACCAGGGCCCTCTGGTAGGTTCTGGGTGACTTCTAAGTTTCTGGCACAATTCTGAATGACTGGAGTTGCTCACAACCTGCCCAACTGGAGTCTACTACTTTTCAACACTTATACTTTTTAAAAAAAATCTGAGGAGACCAAAGCGAAAAACGGGGAAGAGACTCATCAGAAACACAGGGGAGCGCAGACAGTGTGTCCCACCACAGGGAGCCCCGCAGGGCAGGGCCCGTACCTGCTGCTTCATGGTTTTCGTGTCCCACAGCAGCAGCTTGCCAGGAACCTGGTTCATGCCCTTGCTGCCCATGTCAGGTGCCAAGGAGTCCACCTGGGAAGTGAGGCTCGGGGCTGCGGCCGAACAGACGAAGGAGGCCCCGCTGGGGCTGCACGCCAGGGACAGGATTCTGTAACACACGTGGGCCCAGGTCAGCCCCTCCACCTGCGCCCAGAGCAGGGGCACATTCGGCTCTGAGGCCGAATCCTGCTACAAGACATGGGACACTAGGCCCCGCAGAGCACACTTGGCAGCCTGCAGCCTTGGGGGGCCTCCAGCTCACCTGGGCATGTCGTCGTTGATGCTGATCTCACAGAGATTCTTCTTGGCTTCTGTGTCATAAAGACGTACTGTCCCCACACCACTGCCCAGCAAGAGCTGGAACGACAAGAGGCAGGAGGAGAAAAGGACAGTGCAGAGTCAGGCCTGGTCAGAGGGTCCTAAGGGGATCCGGGCTGGGCAGGCTACAAGGGTGAGGCGGCTCCTCCACTCATCGGGCGGCTCAGGGGAAATCTGGCTACAACAGATCTCACTTAAAAATTAAATAAAGACATCAAAGCTGACCTTGAACAGAAGCAAAACCACAAAACGCATCTGTGGAATGGGAGCGATGCATCACCCTGGACACACCTGGAAATGTTCTGGTTGGTTACGTGAGACTCTCTGATCATCCCCCCTTTCTTTGGTTTTAAACCCCAGCCATTCCAACCCTTCCTTCTCGCTCCTGCTCTGTCCACCGCCCTGCCCTGGGTACTGGCCCAGCCGGTCACGGAGCTTAGGGCTTCAGCTGCCTCTTCAGGGGCTCTGGGCCTATAAAGGCCTCCAGAAAAGAAATAAAAGTGGCTATCCTGCCTTCAGGGACTTGTGAATTATTTGGTAAAAAGCCTCAAAGATAATAACAAATACTGCAAGAAAGCACCAGAAGCAGCTCAGGTCTGAGGGTATCCCCAGGAATATTAGGGGGCTGTGACCTCAGCATTCACTTGGCAAACTGACACTGGTGCAGGGAAAGCCCTGAGATCCCAGCCCATGAGGACAATTCCTTCAGCTGCCAAAAATAAGGGTCTGTCCCTTGGGCTACGTGGGGTGATCCTCAAAAAATGGAGCAAAAGAAAAAACAATAAATCAATTTTACCTCCTTAATTACAAATCCTATCCAAATATTAGAGTCCAGAGGGAACAGGAACAGTGTACTATTCGTGGGGGCAATTAGACCGGTGGGAACCACAGAACAGAACACTATCCGCCCACCAGTGTAAGTTGCTCCCGGCGGGCAGGAGGAGAGTGGGGACCGTGGCTGGAAACAGACAGGTGGGGGCCAGCAGGCAGGTGGTCCCGGGCAGACCACCACAGACAGGCAGAAGCTGTGTTCTCCAGGTCCCCCTGTGTCTCGTTTCAATTCTTGTCAACCAGTAACCTCACTGCCACCCCAAACCAGCAGGCTGCTGGGCCAGTCCTGGATGTGTGGTCCCTAAATCCTTGAGCAATTCTTCAACTTAGATGGCAAAGGGAGCCCACAGGCCAACGTGACTCACCAGTCTGTCCCGCTTGGTGGCCCATTCTAAAGACAGCAGTGGTGACTTGGAAATGGAGGATGCTTTGGTCTGCATGATGGGGTTGAAGGACCACACTTTGATGACCCCATCTACGTCTAAGCTGGCGACCCTCCTCCCAGAGCAATCCACCCTGCGAAGGAAGAGAAGGGAGCACCATCAGCATCCCAGCTCAGCGTCCATCCTCCTCAGCTAGTGCCAAGACAATCGCTCCTCCGACTTCCCTACTGTGTTAAAAATACTCCCGAGAAGCCTACACTCAACAGATGGCTATGGACTATTTCTGGAAATATTCTTTCGTTCATTTGTCTAAGAAATACTTGTTAAGTGCCTCTCCTGGTGGACACCAGGCATAGAACCATGAGCAAGATTCCCAGGGCGCCGCCCTCAGGCAGGCAGGGAGATTCAGTGTTCCAGAACAGCCCCAGGGCCGGGCAGTGCTGTCAAAACAAGGAACCCACCTATCTTCTGGAAATTACACTTTGTGAGGGTTTGTTCTTAAAAGGTCATGATTTTACCATGTTTACATAAAAACTTATAAATGGTAAATATTTACCTAAAAGTGCCAATATAAAGCAAATTAAAATTGAGTGAGTTTGGGTGGTTAAAATAAAGGGTAACTTGTTCCTAAAACTCAGAGAAACATGATTAGAAAGGACAGAGAATGGGGCATGGTGGCTCACGCCTATAATCCTAGCACTCTGGGAGGCTGAGGCGGGCGGATTGCTCAAGGTCAGGAGTTCAAAACCAGCCTGAGCGAGACCCCATCTCTACTATAAAAATAGAAAGAAATTAATTGGCCAACTAATATATATATATATATATATATATATATATTAAAAAATTAGCCGGGCATGGTGGCGCATGCCTGTAGTCCCAGCTACTCGGGAGGCTGAGCCAGGAGGATTGCTTGAGCCTGGGAGTTTGAGGTTGCTGTGAGCTAGGCTGATGCCATGGCACTCACTCTAGCCTGGCAACAAAGCAAGACTCTGTCTCAAAAAAAAAGAAAAGAAAAGACAGAGAGGCCACCAGTCCAATGGCAGCTTGGAGCAGGATCCCATACTCTTTGGGGTGATAGAGGCCCTCTAGGGACCATCCCTCCATCCACACCCCATCCTCCCCCACCCCCTGCCAGTCACAGCTTCACACGCGCTGCCCGAGAGTCCAGGCTACCCTGCGCTTTCCCTGGTGGGCCACTGGCCCCAGGCCCAAACCCACCTGCAGTGCATGATGGACGAGTGGTGCTCCCCATACTCCTCCTGCCCCAGCACGATGAAGGGCTGCTCGGGGCGGACCCCGCCACCCTCGGGGCCCGCGGAAGCCCGAGTAAGCGGCTCCATGGGCTCCGCGTGGAGCTCTGGGCAGGCTTCTGCCTCTGGGCCACTGGCTTCCGGCTTCTTCTCTGCACACTGTGGTAAGCAAGTGGGACAAGTCACCTGGGAAGGGGTCCCCCACGCTGGGAGCACACTGCGGGGTGTCTAGGTCTCAGCACGCCAGGGGCTCTAGTGGCTACGGTTTTGCCTAACTCCGCACAGCAGCAGAACTCAGAGGGGAGGTAAGAAGGGCCCCTCCACAGCGCTGCTCAGCAGCTGCATGGACGTCCCCAGGGGCATTTGGGACGAGCCATACCTGGGAAGTGGTGGTAGAGAAAAGCTCCTTCCTCTCCTTGCCGTGGTCCTGCAAGCGCCGCTGCCGGTACTGTGACCAACTGGACTCCCCAGTGGCAAGCCCGCCGAGGAGGCTCTTCCCATCCTTGGCCCCGAACGTCAGGTCCTTTCCCTTAGTGACCTAGAGGACAAGAAGCTGGCTGGGAAAATTGTCTAGCAGTTCTGCCCAGGGCGTCACAGCTGGGCCAGGAGGACAGCAGGAGCCAAGGCGTGCCTGGCTTCTCTACCCAACAGCTCCCAGCTGAGGTCCTGCCTGGCCGGATCGAGCAGGTGCTCTAGAACAGGCGTCCTCAAACTACGGCCCGTGGGCCATATGCGGGTGTTTTTGCCCGTTTGTTTTTTTTTTACTTCAAAATAAGATATGTGCAGTGTGCATAGGAATTTGTTCATAGTTTTTTTTTTAATCTATAGTCCGGCCCTCCAACAATCTGAGGGACAGTGAACTGGCCCCCTGTTTAAAAAGTTTGAGGACCCCTGCAAAGTGCTGGCTCAGCGGGAGAATGAGGTTATAAGCTTCCTCCTTTCTGTTCTCTACCCATTAAGAACAGGCCAGGTCACCTGCAGTCCTCACCTGGGTGGATGGCAGTTTTCTAAAATAGTGGGCCCCTGACAAGTGAGGATATCTCAAAAGCCTGGGATAGCTATTACGCAGGTTTGACAGATTTATCAACCTGACCATGGTATCTTCAAACTGGATTTTTGAGAATAGAAGGAAAAAGAACCCATATAATATTGCAAACTAGATTCTGTGAAGGTTACATATGAGAGCAAAAGATATAGCAGAGAGGAAGTCTCAGAGGAACTAAACCGATAAACTTGCTAATATTTAGTCTCAGGAGCCTATACGTCCAAGGTAGACAGAAAAGGCAGTAGTTCCCAAACTAGAGTGAATCAGAGTCACCTGGAAAGCCTGTAGTTGTGTGACCTCTTTGCAGACCTTTGTGTAAACCCAGATGAAATGAAAAATTTCTAAGGAAAATACGGGATAAGGAGGCTTCAAATTCCTCTAGCTGACTCAAAAGGCACTTGTAACACTGACGCTTCCCCCAGGAAGAGCAGAAAATACGACACTGAGAGGTATAATACAAAGGCAACACTTCCCTCACAAGTCAAGATGGCAAGGAAGGTGTCCAGTATAGACCAAGAACTGCTTTTATAACGATAGGGTTATGCATCCCAACAGAAGGAGGGACTACGCATGATCTATCAGATCCTGCTTATAGCAGAGGAGAGCTTCTCCTTAAACTGTATCTATTACAGTTAGTCATTAAAGAAGGGTGAACAACCACTAAAGATAATAACGTATTAAAAGCCATCCAAAAAATACCTTAATGAGTAAGGTAAATTTGTGTGTAGCTACACATGTATATAACTTAAGTAATTATCTACTATGACACACCTGTTAAATTGAAATTTTTATTTTATTTTTTTAAGGGCAAACATCATAAAAATCTTAACTATTGGTTTCATATAACATTACATGCCAATGGTCTCAATTATATTCTATCATAATCTACCTGACTCCTACAGTTCAGGAGAGAGATTGTAACCTTCTCACTCTACAGATGGATATAAATTGACACCCATTAATTTTCGGTGGCCTGAGTAGATCAGGAGGGATTGCAAAGTCTCATAGAGCTTGCCAGGTAGTCATCCAAATGGGAGAGGAAACAAGTTCCAGTAATTTGATCTTCCCTGAAGCAAAACAAAGCCACCTAGAACACAGGCCCTCATAAAACGGAAATTATACACCAAAAGACGGGCTCTTCCTCCTCCTGCCAAGATCCACAGGAACAGCCCCTCGGGCAGTGGTTATCACCACCAATGTCTCCACAGCTGGGAATTAATTTGATACTAATAAGAGTACAAGTACAGAAGTCTGTGGACACTTTGCTTTCTTCACATTACAGCCAATTAAAGGTTATCTCTGTAATAAGGTAATTCCCACTTGCAGTCCCATGGCTCACCGAGTGGGTGTGAAGGAGCAGGGTTACCCCTGGGGGGAAGGACAGACTGCAGCCCAGGTGAGGCGCTACTGATGAGCCCTCCCTGGCTACTGCAACTAGAGATCCCAGAAAAGCCTGGGAATTGTGGTTTTGCAGTTACTTCCTTTTTTTTTTTTAATTTTGCCTCCAGACTCCCACTGAAAGCCTGGAGAGTGTGTATTACCATCTATTTTGCAAGAATAATGCTATGAACATCTTAGTAATAATGACAACAGGTACAGCAACCAATTACAAGTAGGCAAAATACTGATGTGAGTGAAATTTACAATGTTCTAAATAAACAATATCTAAAATAGGAAAGTCTAATCATTTTATATATTGTTAATTTAATAATACCGTCTGTGTATTTGTGTGTGCTTATTCTTTAATAGTAAAAAAAACACACGTAGTAAATAAAGCATGTAGACTTTTCTCACTCCTACCCCATCAGAAGCATGGTGGGATAGGAGTGAGGAAAAAAGTCTAAATGCTTTATGTGCACTGACAAAGCAACGTGGCTTATTTAAAAACCAGTATCATTGTATACTGTCCAAAGCAGTATATTATCACAATCACAAGAAGTGCCTACCACCTCTGCATTTGGTATGGTGAGAGAGCATCTAGAATTGTACACTCAAATTTGGGTATCACCTGTAATTAAGGGACTAAAACATTAGAATATCCCCCCCCTAATGGAGGGGGCCCAGGATGTGAGGGGTCTAGAAATCATACCATAGGGGCAAACAGGTGAGGGGGGCATAAACAAAGAGTGCTTAGCATGGAAAAGATAGGAGAAGTTGTCCTATATTAAGACAACTTATTCTACATAGCTCCAGAGAGCAAAGCTAAGATTGGTGAGTAAAAGTTACAAAGAAGTGTCTACTAGTAGTTTTCTAACAAGCATATGTTCTCACTCTGATGAGCAGTAAGCTCTGCATCATGGGAGGCAATCAATCCAGACAACGTGCTCCTATACTCAATAGGAGGTTGGGCCAGATGATCTTTAAGCTTCCCTCCAACTTTAGAATTCTGTGACTTTCTTGAACCTCAAATCTAGTTATTGTTAGCATTGAAACATTATCTACCATCAATAAAAAACAAGTGACTTGACCACTGGATTTTCCAGATTGCAGATATCTGCCATCTCTATTCAGGAACTGGAAACTTGGCTGTGTTAACATACCACCCAGTGACCCAACCTTTATTCTATTATATCTTAGAGGCAAGGTAAGGAATGTTTTGCTGCAAATTACCCATTCTTAACCTCATTTATTTGCTGCAAACTGCACAAAAATTTTCAATCCTATTTCAACCTCACCATATGACACACAGTTCCTGAACACATGAAGAGCACAACCATAGGCCTAGCCCCAGTGAAGCTGTCTCTGTGTTTTCTTTCATTTTAAATTAATGAAATTGAATTTCCTAATTTCAAGAGACTCAACATTCCATACACATCTATTAAAGTTATAAAACATTGCACAGTGAGAGAGATCCAGAAAGCAAACAGTACAACTTACTCAGCCACATTCCACAGAACTGGAATTCTAATTTTAAGATTCAAACTTTCCGAAAAACATTCATAGGAGTAACCATGATTGATTTTTAACTGCTTCAACCCTCATGGATGCCAACACTGTAGTCATTTTGTGTTAATGGCACCTCAGGTCTCAGAACTGACTCAGGCGCCCATATAGGCCAGGACCTACAGGAATACCACCTCTACTACTAAAATTGACTGAGTCCTACTCATCTGCCAGGCACTGCATATACCAAGGGCTCTGCTCCTGTCAGCTCAATTAATCCTCCCCTCAGGAGTATATACTATTATTATTTACTGCAAACTGCAGTGAGTTTAAACAATCTGAGCGCCAATGCCAAATAAGGAGCCAGAGCTAAAAGTAAAGCTTTAAGAAGATCCGATGCTCTTTCTGATCAGTGTCCTATTCAGTGTTTCCAGCTCGACAACAATGCTAAATCCAAGTGCTGTGTTCCAGTGGCAGCCTGGAGCAGCCCCAAACTGCCGCATCACTTGCAAATGGTCTCAAGCTGAGGGGGGTAGGAGAGGAAGGCACAGACTATGACCATTTACTTTATCTGTAACTGATAAAAACATATTAAAAGCGGAAGTGTCTCTATCCAAGCAATAAAGTATAACTCTTGAGTCTATTCAGCTTTCACTTTGGCAGGCATTTCTGAAAGCAATGAATTCTGGCAATCTCTGCTAGGAAAACTACTTAATGGGACGCTTGGCTATTTTGGACATAAGCTGACATCAAAGAAATTCTCTTGCAATCTTCCATAAAATTAAAAAATAGTGAAAATCTTTTGCAAAATCAGCAAATACCAACTTGTAGGTGAAATGCATGGATTCAGAGGTAACTCCTATTATAATTTTCTCCTTAGACACTACTTTTTATCATCAAAAATTCAAAATTTCAGAAGTGCTTGAACTCACACTCGAGCCTCCAAAACACAGTCATAAGCCTTCGTGAGTTCATAAGAAATTTATGAGAAAAGAGGGAATCTTCAAAGCCTACTAATTCCTGTCATCGGCTATCCACTGCTTCAACTGGAGGGTGTCACAGACTTTTGAGAGTTGGCACGGGAGTGCAGGTGGTGGTCAGAGGAGAGCAGCCACTTGGGTCAGGAGACCTGGGTCTGAGGTCCAGCAATGCTTTTATCAATGCACATGTGTCTGCCGACTGCCACAGCGCCTGCAGTTCCAGCCAGAGGCGAGGATAGGCGAGGATGGGGAGGCAGGGGCTGCGCCATGTAGTAGGTGGATTTTCCTCCTGTTTCTCTCAGTTCCTCCGCTATAGTCTTATCTATATTCTCATCCTGCAGGGCTATCAGTTCATAAGGAGAAAGGCAGGGACGGAGGAAGAAAGGGAATGACATGTGAATACAGGGTCTCATCAACATGCCCAAGAAATCAGCCCTAAAGGGAGGGCAAACAATCTGCACTTGACAAGTAGGTCTGGGAGCAAGGTTGGATGGCAGAGGCTTCTTGGCATGAGTTAGGAAGGTGGGACTTGTGCTTACCTGACTGCTGAAGGACTCTTTCTTGGCCGAGCTCTGAGCCTGAGGGGGCCCCTGGGCAGGCAACAACCTTGAGGGGCTCTTCTTACTCTGAGGCAGCAGTGAGGACAGGAAGCCCACACGAGGCGACTGGGAGAGGGAGGCATTCCTCTGGCTGCACACCATGGCTCTGGGCAAGCACATGCACCATGGGGTCACAGGGCTGAAGACGAATGTGGCAAAACCAAGAACACAGACCCAGACCCCCTGGGCTATGGACATTGCTAATGACCTGGGCCTTAGTTGTGCTCAGGAGCCTGGGCTTTAAGATGGCATTACACTTGGTACCATTTCCTGTACAAAGGGAGCCAGCAGCTTATCTGACACAACACTGACATCTGCAACTCTTCTTTGAGGGCCACAGTAAAGCTCAGAGCTGTCTTGCCTGATAGTCACTAGCCACATATGCTACTGAGCACATGAAATCTTAGTCCAAATCGAGATGTGCTGGAGGTATAAAATACATACTGGAATTCAAAGACTTAGCATGAAAAAAAGTATAAAATAGCTCAGTAATATTGTGTTTATATTCATTACATAGTGAAATATTTGGGATATACTGGGCTAAAAAATCAATCATTAAAATTAATCTCTCTTGTTTCTTTTTACTTTGTTTAATGTAGCTACTAAAAATTTTTAAATTATATCTTTTATTGACATTATACTTCCATCGGACAGTCCTGGCTCAGAAACTGGAGTGATTTCATCGGGTACAGTACTTGGCTGCATGTATCTGGAGCCTGGCTGCCTAGGTTTGCATCCTGACTCAACTGCTACCTGTGTCACCTGCCTGTGTCTGTGTTTCTTCAATCACTATTATCACTATCCTCAGCTTCTACTTTAACTAGCTTTTTCTGAAGGTCGCTCAAATACCTCTCTCTCAATCTGCCTACCTCATTAAACCCTTAGGTGTATGCTTCTACTGAGGAATACAGACAACCTGTGGTTGCCAATCTTTCCATATACGAGGCACTTCTTCCAATGCACAAAAACTCCCCAAGACTTTACCATAGCGGTTGCTTTTTTATTTACCCAAGCTACACACACCTGGATGTGTAGGCCTCTGGCAGAGCTGTGCAGTTCCCCCTGGCTCTGGACATAGCCAGAGGCTCAGAGGTTAGAAACAATTTCTAAAGGCCCTAAGAGGTCATGAAGACCTTACATAGCTCTGCAGCAAGAGCAGTGTGCCAAGGAGGCTCTGTGGCAATTCTCCCTCAGTAAGCACAGGGGGCCACAAGTGAGAAGGGGTCAGAGGAACCTCAAGGCTGAGAGGACAGAGGACAAAGGGAGGAGGGGGCTGACTGCATCCCACCCACACCCCTCCTGCACACTCACAGTTCCGAGTCCCCCAGGCGGTCCATATTAGAGACATAAGGAGGCAATTTGTGTTGGACCAAAGCCTCTTCCTCTTCTGGCTGCTGCTCCTCTTTCCTCAGTCGGTGGATTTCAGCTTGCAATGCAAAAAGCTACGGAGGGGTGGGGCTGAGTTAGCCATGATCTCAGCTAGCCTTCCCCTTGCTGAGGAGGATCTAGACACAACACATGCAAACCCAACCTCACTGGCTCGAAGTGCCACTCGCCCCCAGCCTCAGGGTGCTCATCTCACTCTCTCCTCACTGCGGACTGGGAAAATGCAAAAGTGATCGCTAGTACTAGACTATAGTGAGGTGAGAAAACCAAAAACCATTAGAAATCCAAAACCCACTTTTTTTTTGTCATTTGACTTGCTTCCTTTTTACCATCTGACTTGCTTCTTCCTGAATTCACTGAGAAAAATGGCTCCACCCAATCCTGCTTTGCTCTTTGGAATCTACAAAATCAGGCTTTGGAACTCTCATGGAAAAATTTTTAAATGAATTATAGCAGTTTTAACATTTTGCCTGAAGAAAATTACACATATATACATATACCCCCCAAAACCCAAGAATCTTAAGCCCCAAAACAAAAATAGCTTATAATATTCCTTTTCCTGACAATAGCAAGACATCATCATTTCAGGACAGAGAAAAGCTCCTCAGGCAAAGAGTAAAAAGAAACATGGTTCCACTGGCTCTATCGTTTTATGGAACTAGAGAAACATAGCTGACAGGAACAATTAAATTATACCTGGATTGTAAACTATATATGGATATACATGGAAAAAGATGGGGATGACAAAAATGGACATATGAAAACACGTTAGTTTTAAGGTGACATGGGTACATATGGTCTTTTTCTCCTTAAAAGTTCATTACTGTTACTATATTGTTTATGCTATACACACAATTTAAAATACAAATCTCACCTCTGGTTTTCAAAGACCATTAAGTCTTCTGGTGACTCAAATTCATCTGAGAGGAGTTCAGCTTTCCTACATTAATCAGCCCTCTATTGCCACTACCTAATTTCATACGCAAAAAGCAGAAGTAGTTCCGAAGAAGCAAGCCTGCTCCGAACAAACCTTCTGACGCAGAACTTCATTTTCTTCTTGAATCTGGTTGGTCCTCTGACACTCCGCATCAAAGTTCAGGATCACAGGGACTGGTGCACAGAGTTAAAGAATAAACCTGCCTGCAAAATGTTCAAAAGTCCTTCCCAATCTCTTGACACAGCAGCAAAACACTTGAACATGAACATGAGACACAGAGAAAAGAGTACAGTGCCGGGGGCTCTTCACAGCTTTATGAAACAGTCTCTCCCTTGTCTCTGGGCCTAGCCTGACTTCGTTCAGACAGACTCACAGACACATGACAATCAGCCTGGCCAGCCCACAGAGAAGACATAAACCTAAACCTGAGCATTTACTCCCAAAACCAGTAGTAAAGAGATAGTATCCAGTCTACCTCATAGCCAGTTTAAGCTTCAGCAAGGTTATACAGACATTCAGCTAAACCAACCCTGGAGGCCAGTGGCTCCACAAACATACGGCCAGGGAGGCAGAATGATCAGCCACTTGGCTTCCCCCCCTCAGATTGAGCCTTTCCCTGGCAAAGGTTTAGACTGAGAAGAGAAAGCTTTCTGCTGATTACACAGCCACATGCCAGCCGCCCTGAGATCGCTGAGGCGCTGAGGGTGTCGCTCTTTCTCTACTGCCTCAGACAGCTTCAGTCGGGAGGGAGCAGAGTGGATGGGGCCTCAGTACTAGCGAAGAAGACTGGAGCTCATATGTGTGTGACCTAGTTTGAGGGGCACTGAAAAGATCTTGAGCGACAACTTCAATCTCCCTGGAGAGCCTACAAGCTCATGCCATAACCACCCTGCTAGTTTCTTTGGAAAGCCCTCGGATGAAAGAGGCAGCAAGGGGCAGGAGAGAGGCAGCAAGGGGCAGGAGAGAGGCAGCAAGGGGCAGGAGAGAGGCAGCAAGGAGAAGGAAAGGGGCAACTCTGGCAAGGGCAGGATTCACACTCATCCACGACACAGAAAGAAAGGGTAGAGGCAGGAAAGGCACCCTTCCCCCCTCCACTAGACAGCGTTCCTCCCAGAGGCCAAAACAGCCACCAACGAGTGGGCCTCTACAACACCCAAATTTATCAGTGCCTCACCAGGGATCCCCATTCAAACCAGACTCCCTTCCCCTCCCCTAGATTTCCAGACCAGAGAGCATGAGCAATGGACCATGCCCCAGTTCCAGGAACCTCAGGCTTTCCAAGACAAAATATACCTACATTCTGGTTCTCGTTGTCTGTCTCTGTCTGTCTGTCTGTCTGTCTGTCTCTCTCTCAAATCCCCACATATGTATTCTTAAAGCTACTCTGTTTTCTAGCAAGTTGAGGAACACTGAGATCACTATCAGAGATAGTAACCCAAACACTACCACAGAGTTCCAACCGTCATGGTCATGCCATAACCAAGCAGCATTCTAATCTGCTACCTAATATCAGCAAAGGCAACTGATATCCCCAGGGACATATGTCAGGCACAGAGAGGGTGCTCTCACTGGCCACTTTCTCTGAGAAGCAGCTGCTTCCCAAACCCTGTGTCTGTTGACAGAGCCCAGTGCTTGCACTGGCTGTTGCCACCATCCCCGCCCATGTATGTCAGCTATTACTTCAGCAGCACAGTGTCAGAACTAAGATTTATGATTCCCTGGCCTACTGACAAAAACAACCACAATTTGTCCAGCCCCCTCATGTGACCCATGACAATGATCCTTGGGCATTTTCTAGAAGAAATGGCTGCATCAAGAGCAGCAGGCTACTGGTCATGAGGCCTAGGTGCCTCAGGCTGGGCCCAAAGCCCCAGGCAGTTGAAAGGATATGCATGCACTGAAACAGGACACTCAGGAAGTTGTGCAGGGACACAATGAAGGTGTCGGCCCACTGTCGAGAAAAGTAGGTAGCAAAGGTGGGGTTGGTGTCTGGGGATGGCAGGAAGGGCAGGACAAACCAATCCTTCCACTCCGCCTGGTTCTGGAGCTCCATGGCCTGCTTTGCAAAGAACTCCTGAGCCTTGTCGGTTCTGTTTGTCTGCCAAGACACAAAGAAGGTAGCAAGGAGAGGGGGAAGGAAAGAAGTCCAGAGGTAAGATTCTTTGTTACTGCACAGCAGACAGCCTTTGGATGTCAGCCTGCCAGGTAAGTGGGAAAACGGGATCTACAAACTACATAACATAAAGGAAATCATCACTCTTTTCTCAAGGAACTTGTAGTTTCAAAGCTGGTTTAAACTGAAGTTCTAATGATTCATGCCATCCTGAAAATTAATCCCTAGTTGATGTCCAAATAACCACTAAGTGACTTATTCTCCAGGTCGGCTATAACTTTTACTCAAATTTTAACCCAGCTACTTATATTCTTTAATACACCACCCAGGTTTACGTGCCTAAAACAAGAAGGGAAACAGGCATGAGGAAGACAAGTCATATGATCTACAGATGACAAAGGAAAAAAAGTAGAAAAAAAGTCAAAACCCATTTGCACTGTGACTGTTCCACTCTTTCCTATAGCAACATACAGAGTCCTCTCTAGGGGTTTGAAGAATATCTATTTCTGAATCAGAGCTCTCTCCACCAAGGGAAGCAGAACCTCTGAGTCAACAAGCACCTGGATTGTGTAGACAAGATAAAAGCGGAACAGGCTGGTCTTCAGCTTGTTGATGGTGGGTCTATATATATCCTCCAAGCGGCTAAATAGCCGACGCTCCAAGTAGCTCCAATAATCACGAAGAGCAGCCAAATCATACACCTGCATTAACTGCTGCAGCTGGTCCACAATCTTGTCCACCTGATGAGAGAAAGATGGGATGGAGAAGGTGGTAAAGGACAGAAATGGATACTCCCCTCCACAGAATACAACATTTTCCTCTTGTTGTGGCTTTTGGATGTTTAAAAACATTGTTTTAAGTTAGCAATCTATAAAATTTTCAAAACATATTGATGCAACAACTTTTAAGTTATTTTCTGATATTAGATATGTAATCTGACCTTCTAGCAAGCATGGAAATCTCAGGTGTAAAAGGGCTCCGGCCCAGGAAACAAGAGATCTGGCAGCAGGTCTTGGATCTGCCCCTAACTTGACCAACTTGGTAATGTCACTTCAACTGTGGTCTCTGTTGACTCACATTTAACCAAAAAAGGGGGTGGAGGATAGAGAATGTCTGAGGCAATCTCCACCGTCCTCCTCCCAGCTGTACAATTCCAGGATTCCAAGGATCATGAGGAGGTGCACTGACTCCTTCAAGTCATCAAATTCCACCAAAGCCCTGGTAGCTGCTCTAGTGTCCGCCAAAGAAGTCACCGCCTTGTGAGGAGCAATTACACCAGAGTGTACAACCTGGAAAAGGTTTTGAATGACAATACCAATCCAACTCCCTGTTTTATAGATCAGGCCACTGCAGCTAGAGAGGTGAACTGACTTGCTTTTGCCACTAACTTTGGCAAGACAAGAAACCAGATCTCCTCACTCCTCTCCAGTGCTCTTGTTCTAGCTCACTGCCTCTCTCAATTCACTGCCAACAGAGGTTGAAGTCAGCACATACAAACATACAAATCACACACATATAAATTCCAAGAAACTCTCAATGGAAAATCCTATCAGAGCAGGGGAAGTTTGCGTTTTAAAAATGTTCAATGAGATCTTCCTCAACTGCAGAAGCAATATTGCCCAATGAGTCCCTGACAAGGCCATTTTAGACAAACACCACAAGTACTTGAACCCAGCTAACGTTTTGGACTGCAAACCCCTTTGCTCCCACTACCATTGGAGGCTAACCCTTAAATATTTCTGTTGCCAAAATTCAGTCATCTACCTAATCTTGCTCCGAAAACCTCACTGCCACCCTGGCCAAAGATTGGCCGGCACCTGCTGGGAGGCTGGGGTGGAGAACAGAGCCCTGGACCAGGAGGAGTCAGGGCACCTGAGCTCCAGTCTCCGCGATGCTCATGCCTCTCTGGGCAACTTCAGGCAAGTCACGTCCGTGCGAGGGCCTCGGCCCCTCAAGTGTCAAGGGAGGGCCGAACGCGCTGATGTCTCTGGTCCCCCCTCCCGCCCGCCCCCGGCGCGAGTGACAGCGCCGCTCCCGCCCGGGAGGGCAGTGCTGGGAGGAAGCCCGCTCCCGGCCCCCTCGGGCCGCCTGCCCGCGCTGCGCCCGGCGGCCCCTCACCCGGAACCCCTTCTCCTTGTCCGCCTTGATCTCGGCGTCCAGCTGTCGCAGCGTGTGCGTGAAGCCGCGGAAAAGCAGGTACTCGCGGACCAGCTCGTCAGTGCGCTCCACGGCCTCCGCCATCGCTGCGCCAGCGCCTTGAAGGGCCGCGCGGCGAGGGGCAGAGGGGCGGGGCCTGAGCAGGGCGGGGCCGGGCCGGGGCCGGGCGCGGGTGACGATTACGTCACGCCGCGGCCGGCCTATCAGCCTGGACGCACGCACCGCGTGTCCTGGCCTGTGGCCCCGCCCTTCTGCCGGCGCCCTGCCCTAAGCCCCGCCCCGCCGCTCTCGTCATTGTCACCGTTTCCAGGGGCGGCTGGCGGGGCTCTGCCCTCTTGAGTTTCCTTAGCAGCGCTGGCGTTGGCTTTGTCATCTGAGTTAATGAAAGTGGCGGCTGCCGCCCAACTCAAATAGGACTGGACCTGGAGAACACGCTAGGTAGTCACGAGGAGGGCAGGGGGTGAGGTGCCCTGCGTATTGGCATGACATCGCAGAATCCTCTGTCCCCTGTCCTCCTTTTGCAAATGGGGGAGACTGGAGTCCTAAGAGGTAAAGTGACGTGAGTGAAGTCACACAACCAGGTGTGCTCTCAGAGAGCGTGGACTCCCCCAAAAGCCCCGGCTTAATTAATGAGACCAATAAGACTACACAGCAAGATAACCAAGATGCACTGCCAAGAGGAAAAAGGCAAGTTTCTTAACAGTATGGATACTGTCGTCCCCAGTTTCTCGTGGGGAAAAAATGGTACGTGTGTGTATGTGTGTACATTTTTTAAATTCAAGAAGAGTAAACCCGAGCTTCACAGTCGGTCCTCCATACCTTCGGATTCCACATCCGCGGATTCGCACCCACAGATTCAACCAAAAGGATTGAAAATTGGCAAAAAAATTTTAAATTCAAATTTAAAAATACAGTGTAACAACTGTTTACATAGCGTTTACATTGTGTTAGGTATTATAAGCAATCTAGAGATGGTTTAAACTGTATGGGAAGATGTACTTAGTTTATAATGCAAATACCAGCCATTTTATAGCAGGGACTTGAACATTCATGGATTTTGGTATCCTGGGAGGGCTTTCTCTAAGAGGTGAGACTATGAGGTATGAGGGACTTTCACTTCCTATTATTTACTTTTTTTTTTTTTTTGAGACAGAATCTCACTCTGTCACCCAAGGCTGTAGTGTAGTGGCCCAATCGTAGCTCACTGCAACCTCAAATTCCTGGGCTCAAGCAATCCTCCTCCTTCTGCCTTCAGAGTAGCTGGGATTACAGGCTGGGCACCACCATGCACAGTTAATTTTTTATTTTATTTTATTTTTTTAGAGACAGGATCTCACTATATTGCCCAGACTGGTCTCGAACTCCTGGCCTCAAGCAACGCCCCCCCCAGCTTCCCAAAGTGCTGGGATTACAGGTGTAAGTCACCACATCTGGCCATATTTTTAACTTTTTTTTATTGTTCAAACAAAATTTCAACATTTTTACAAAATGTACATATTTTTGTAAGCAGGAAAATAGCCCATATCTTTGAGTCTTATTCTCTTCATCTGTAAAATGGTGACAATAACACCTACCTTGCAGAGTAACAATGAAGATTTAATAAGATAATGTATATAAAATGCTTATCGCAGTGAATGGCCTATGGTTAAAATGTTTGTTCCTTTGTCATTCCCTCTAATGGTATGACTTTTTGTGTTTGTCAAAGTACAACTCAGAATCAGTACTACCACTTTGCTCAGACACTCCAATCCTGCGTGATCCTACTAGATGGAAATCCTCCATTCCTACCATCCAATCCTACTATGTGGAAATTCAGCTCCAAAGGAGCCCTGATCTGCAGTAGAGAAACCCCAAAAGATAACAAACAGCAAGCTACAGCAAGACAAGGTAGGCACTTGTTTGGACCCTCTTTGCCTGCTTTACCTGTCTCCACATGTGTATCCCCCAGGCAACCAGTTTTGACTGAAGGGCCAGAAAGGAAAGGAGAGTCACCCCTTTGACTACTGGGAAACCAACTTCTACTTTGAGATCCCAGATCATCAAAAGTGCACTTGGGAAATTTGGACAAGTAGCAACCACCAAAACTTCCACCTACAGGAAAGTTGTGAATTAGATTTCCCTAAGGGCACCTGAAGTCTGCAACCACAGCTCTCACCTCCCCCATTCCATCTGCCCTGGAACTTCCCAAACCAGAGCCTGCAAAACCAGCTAAGATTAGTTTTCTGAATCAGTGAAAGGCAGTTCCTCAGAGCCTTAGCACAAGCTCTTTGTTCTACGTGGAATGTCTTCTCCCAGATATCCACAAGCGTAGCTTCCTTTCTCCCTTCACATGTTTGCTCAAATGTCACTGTCTTTTTGGATTGCTATTTAAAATGCCATAAACTGGGTGGCTTATAAATAATAGAAATTTATTTCTCACAGTTCTGGAAACTGGGAAGTCCAAAATCAAGGCACTGGCAGATTCGGTGTCTGTTGAGGGCCTACTCTCCGGTTCATAGATGGCACCAAGTTACATGCCCACTACAGAGCATCCGTAGCCATAGCCTTTGGTAGATAAATCTTTTCTTACCACAGTCAGTTCTATACAAAGTATGAGCACCTGTGAAAACCGGAACTGGCCCACCATGACCCATGCAGTAAGTCACAGGTTCCCCATATACAGCCTCCAAGCTTGTCTTAGGAGGCAGCCTGTTTATATGATAGTGTGTAGCTCACTGAAAACCAATGACATAAAAATTAAAATAAATGCCCTTTTCCTCCTCTCAAATTAGTATTTTTTTAAATGTATTGCCCACTGTTGATGAACATAAAATGAAATGAGCATCCTCATTAAGCTTCAGAAGAAGCTCCTTTTCTAGGGATCAATTTATAAATGATCAGAATTCTCAAAATCTTTCTACTCTTTAACTTGATGATTCTACACCTAAAATTTCCCATAAAGAAAAAATAAAAATATTCATGCAAAAGAGGCTTCTTATAAAAGTGCAAGTTATCTGTAACAATGAAAGTTATTTATAAGAGTGAAAATTTTAAGTACTTAGGGGCTATAGTGAGGTACCCTCAAAGAACCTAGGAGTGAGAAAACTGCATTTCCCATTGAGAGTTAAATTGCAAAATCACCTTAAAATGGATCAGAATTCAAGGATGCAAAATCAGTGGAAAGAGAGACGCTACTAGGCTCACAGATCTTGATTGAGGGCGTTAACTCGCAAATTAAATATTATGTCAGTCAGAAAATGTTTTAAACACAGACACACAGAAATTAGAGAGTGACTATGGGCAGAGCTATTCAAGCAATCATGTGCAACACAGCCAGCAGACATCCTGTGTTCTGTCCTATGGCAAGGCCATTCCCAAAATGAGAAAGAGGTACTGCACCACCCCAGAATTGGGCCCTGAAAGGCATCCCGCTCCCCTTTGCCTGGTACCAAGCTCACAAAGGGATGGTCTGATTCCCCCAGTACTTGACTGTATGAAAGAGTTGTAGCATTCCAGCATCTTTCTCCCGGTAAACTGAAGATAGTTTCTGATTATGATAGTCTTCCAAGGTAGGCGGAAGAGGGTATCATTTATGTAAGTGCTACCACGAGTACTCCCTGTCTGTGTGACAGTTATATTTTTCATTCAAAGATTTCACAAAGTGGCATTGTGATGTTTCCCTCAGTCCCCTGTGTAGTATAGTTAGCACAGATCAGTTTTTTAGAACCTGATCATTTCTGGACACTATAAAATCCAGTTCCAGCTGTCCTGTTCTTCATACCAATTCCACCTGCAAGAGTCTATTACTGATTTCCACAGGGAGAAAGAAATCTGAAATAACCAAAATGTTCAAAATTAGGGGAAATCTTTATAAATTATGCTACATCCAGCCCATGCAATATTTTGTAGTTGTTAAAAATTTTGTTTTTTAAGAATATTTAATTACTTGGAAAAATAGTAATACTACATGTTTAAAATGTATGATTCACACTCTGGAAACCAGTTTGGCAGTTTCTTACAAACATGCAAATACCATATGACCCAGTAATCGCACTCTCGGGCATCTGTCCCAGAAAAATGAAAACAGATCTTTACATAAAAACTGGCACACAAATGTTTATTCATAATAGCCCAAACTGGAAACAACCCAGACATTCTTCAACAGCATGATTCTATTTATATAACATTTTTTAAAAGACAAAATTTAGACTTAAAGAACTGATTAGTGAATACCATGGGTGAGGATGGGTGGGTAGGAGGGAGGTGAGGAAGGAAGCGGATGTGATTTTTAAAAGGGGAACACAAGGGATCCTTGTGGTAAGGAAATTGTTCTGCATCTTGACTGTGTTTGTGGATATGTGAAGCTACACATGTAATAACATTGTATAGAACTGAACATACACACATGTACAAATACAACAGGGAATTCTAAATAAGATCAGTAGACTGTAAATGTCAATGTCCTGGTTGAGATATTGAACTTTATTTTTGCAAGATGTTTCCACTGGGGAAAACTCAGTAAAGGGCACATGGGATCTCTCTGTTAATTCTTTTCTTTTTTTCCCTTTTATTTTTAGTTGACATGTAATAATTTTACATATTTATGGGATACAGAGTGATATTCCATATATATACACACAATGTGTAATGATTATATCAGGGTAATTAGCATATCTGTCACCTCAAAAATTTATCATTTCTTTTTGAACATTCAAAATCCTCTCTCTGTATTATTACTTAGAACTGCATATTAATCTATAGTTATATCAAAATAATAAGTTTAATTTTTAAAAGTGTGATACAAAACTATAGATGTAATACCATTGCTTACATAACATTTTTGATGAATATGTACACACACAAAGTATTAACAATTATTGGTTCTTGGTAGTAGAGTTGTTAGATTTTATGGGTGATTTCTGACTTTGTCTATGTACTTTTTAATATTTTTCCAATTCCTTATTATGAATATATATTCATTTTATAATTTATATTAATAAATCAATGAATATTTAATCAGAGCATGTTCATTTGTCGTAAGCACCATATCCTAGTGCTGATTCTTACAAAGCTTTTACCAAATAACCTCCCAAAACTTTTAAGCATAAATTACTGCTAAACTAAGAATTTCCAATCCTGCACTTCTGTAATTCCAT